AAAGATCTAGAGTGTTTTCCGTTTCCCGTATTGAATCCTGACTGATACAGGGAACAAGGCTGTCTTAGTGCTTTGTACCTGAGGTCTGGATTAGTGTGGGCACAGAGTAGTAGAGACCCTGTAGGTGGTGAGATGACTGGCCTTAGCTGGGGGAAATTTGGGGGTGGTGACCTCATCTAGGAGAGCTTGCCTGCTCTCCAAAGATCATGAGTTTGAAGGGCTGAGCATCTGGGTTGCTCTCATCTCATTCTGCTTCTCTCACCACAAAGCTTCACTTCCACTGGCTTTTCTTTCTGATTTTCACGGCAAAGCAGGAAAAGCTGCCATTTTTTGGAGAGGTCAGGCAAAAATTTTTGCTAGTGCTCAATGACTATCTGTTCTACCCATTTTAATGAGCAGGGAAGGTAATGAGTTTTCAGTTTCCAGCCTGAGGGCGAACAAATTCCTTGGGCGAGTCGGCTTCCCTTAGCGTGAACAGAGAGCTGGGGAGCTGCTGCACATCTCTGCCGCAGCAGACAGCAGGACCGTCGCCTCGGTCCACTCTGCTGCCTAAACCCCACCTTCATGCCTGAACCTGCAGATACTATTTAGTAGCTGATTCTTTGGCTCATCAGTTCTTCCTGAGCAGAGGCAAGATTGAATATATGTGACGAATTTTTGTGCAGAAGGAATTGATTGCTCTGGTAACTGTGTCATTGTTCACAAATGCATGGTACCCCTCTCTGCAGGAGGAGTACAGGTCCCCACTCTCTGACTCTTGATTGTGACCAGGTGACTGGCTCTGGCCAACGAAGTGTGAGTGGAAATGACTGCCCTTGGTCTGCCCTTGGTCTTTAGTCCCTCTAACCACGTCAGCAATGATGCAGATAGCGGCAGCTCCCCGGCCTGGGCCCCAGGGTGAAGACGATGTGGAGCAGGGCAGCAGGAATCCAGGATGGACATGTTGCTAAAACTCTTTTTAAACTATTAATTCTGTATTAATTTACTTCTGTGAAGTGGTTGAGATTCTAGAAGCCTAGTAAATTACACCTCTCATCCTGGCCAGAGTTTGGTCCAAGAGGGCTGGAGGGGGAAGCTCAGGTCCTTCTTCCAAATGCACCAATCAGGGCCAGCCCCATGGCTTAGCGGTTAAGTGCGCACGCTCCGCTGCTGGCAGCCCCGGTTCGGATCCCGGTCGCGCACCGACGCACCGCTTCTCCGGCGGTGCTGAGGCCGCGTCCCACATACAGCAACTAGAAGGCTGTGCAACTATGACATACAACTATCTACTGGGGCTTTGGGGGGAAAAAAAAAATTAAAAAAAAAAATGTACCAATCAGATCAGTCGCTCCTCCTCCCTGCCAGAGGCAAGAAGGGGTGTGAGGAGGTCCTGCCCCCTGACAACTTTAGGAGAGAGAAATAGAGATTTCCGAAAGGATTTTGTTACTGTAAAACTATACCACTCTACATATCAAAAAGAATTTGCCAGAAATAGAAATATTAGGAGAGGCCATGAAAACATTAATTTTTGTCTCATTTTTATTCTTGAATATTTGACAGCCGCATTCAAGTGACAGGCCAAGGCATTGAAATAAGAGTTTAAGCCGTGGTAATCCTAACCGTTATCATTAAATAAAGTAATTGATTAGCACATTGCTGTAATAGGGCAGCAACTCCATAGTAAATCGGAACTTGTGACCTTAATATTAATATGACTGACTTTCTGCCAAGACGTCCCTTGCCCCGAGGGCCTGGCTCATTGTTAATTGGTGGCCTGTGGCTCCCAGCACAGTGCTCTGCTCTGGCTGCTGGGCCTGAGGGTAACGGGGTTATTTTGAAACCCAGTATTCTTAATGAATCAGATCCTGACCCTAAAACATGCAAGAAAATAACCTAAAAGTGTGATGAAAAATTGGTCTATTGGAAAGTCAGTGACCTTTCCAGGGTTGATTTTAAAAGCATAGATTTGTTTTATTTGACACTTTGGTAAATGACTTAATAAAACATAACAAGGTCAAAGAAATTATCCTGTGTGTGTTGTGTCCTGCAGCCTGGACTATCTAAACGATATGCTTGGAAATGAGCATCATTATTAGTGAAATATTGTTGCAATATATGGCATGGACTGTTTTGGAGTGTCAGACTTTAAGGCGCTATCACAGAATTGACCGTATTCATGGGATTTTTCCTGACTTACTAACATTTTTCTTTATTGTCTCCATAATCACCTGCTTTATGAACTGGGGCTAGAGCTGATGTTGCAACTGGTAATTTTCTTAGAACCCAAATGCATTTATATGTTTCCATTCTCTTGATTTCCATCATTTCTGGGAATTGTTAGTAGATGGAATAAAAAGAAAATACATTATAAACAATTCAAAACACCAAAAATAAATTCCTTGGACCTTTTACAGATACCACACATGCAAATAAATGTGGCTTTGCATTCCAATGGCATTCGCGTGGGGATTACATTTTCCTCATTAACCTCTTTCTTAACCAAACAGTATTGTTCTTCAAGCCTGTTTTCTGGAAATCGAGTTTGACATTTTAAATTAATTCACACTGGCTCAGTTCAAGTGAAGAGGTAGAATGTCTTCTTTTGATCCCAGTCATTTGTGCAGCCCTGGTTGAATTCTACCAAAGTAGGAACGCCTACTGGTTTAGAATGAAAACAGGAGATTGATTAGATTGCTTCAAAACCAAAACATTAGAGGTACTAAATATGGTTTTTCCTGCACTGCTAAGGAAAGAGGTGGAAAAAGCAATCTATGATGTACTCCTGAGATCTGAACATGCTTGCTTTCCTATAACAAATCATTTATAAAATGAATGTACTTATTTCTAATGGAAGGAACACTCAGTCTGTTTTCAATCAGTCATAACCAATAATTCCTCTGCTAATATGTGGACTTTAATCTGAAGCAGTGGGAATCTTCTCTTTTCTCCAGGAAAGTCAACAGAGTTGTTTAGAAAGACTGCATAGTTTTGGTAGGAGCAGATATGTAACTTGATTGTTTTTTAAAACTTCTGTAAACGTTTATGCATGAATTTGCAATTTTAGCCCTTTTTTGTTACAGAACAACAGTATACATTGTTTTCGGTGTTGATATTTGGCAGTGGATGGTGAAATATTTGTATGTATTTAGGTATGTCTATCTAAGTAAAATGAAAGAGACATTAAAATAACTCTCAGTCTGAGTTAAATCTACCAATTTTAGGAAACCCTGTATCAGTTGTCTTCACTCTGCTGTTAGCTCTGTCTTGTTTTGTCAAGCATTCTTTTTCATTCCACCACCCTCTCATGCATTGTTTTCAGACTCCTGTAATCCTAGCTGAAGATGGCACGAGTTAGAGTTGGAGAGAGAACCAACACTAATTTTCGTAGTGTCCACAGTTTCAAAACACACACTTTAATGTTATTTGACACCATTTCTACATGTGCTCTCTTTAGAAAGTGAAGAAATACCTTTTGAGAGTTTGTCAGATGAAACTATATTCCAAAACATTTGCAAAACTGAATTATTGACAAAATGCACATGATTCCGAAAGGCCCTGCTTGATTGAAAGCATTTGCAGTATTTCAACATGAGAACGTTGCTTACCCTTTCTGTTGTCTGTTTCCAGAGTCCTACAGAGCATACTTCTGGACTTCTACTGTGCCCGGATAGCAGTTACTACACAGCAAACTCAGAACAGATTAGAGCTAGAGTTTTAGAACACTCGATGCCTTTTATCCCTTGAGTAAGCATTCAGGAAAATTGCATCCTCGTGTTCTCCCACAACCATCTCTAAGTCATAGGAGGCTGAATCCCCCCTGCCTGCCTGTAGGGTCTAACAATGCCTACCAAATTGCACAATCACGCTTGTCCATTCCCAGCACGTGCTGTGGTTGCCAAGATGCCGCTGTGCCCTCAGTAGATCCTTTGAAGAGACACTCATTCCAAGTCTTGTAGCTTCAGGGTTGATTTGCCACCCACTCTTAATGTCCTACTTTGGCTGACATAACACTTAGCCTACCTCTGAGAATGACACCAAAATCAGTTCTGCCACTAACCAGAAACAAGGCCATTTCTATTGCAAAAGGACAACAATAGCCTCGTGGAAAAATTGTATTTGCATACATGGTGATAATAATTAACAGAATTATAAAGTTTTAAAAGCCCAAATATGTCGTGTGTGTGGTGTGTGGTAAGAGAGAATTTTTCAAAAATCTAATGTAGTTGACATCTCGGTTGCCATTTGACTAACACAGAAATTAGTATCCTGAAAACTGACCAAAGAAGGAGAAAAATATGTTTTATTTTAAATATACTTCCTTTGTCAAATCACTCTCTTTACTAACAAGGAAAACCATCAAGGGCAATGTAATTCATCTTTATTTGGAATTTCAGAAAAGCTAGTGTCCCAAACTCTCTTCTGAACTTTTCAATAGACTTCTTGCTGTCTAGCTTCATCTTGTTTAAAGATGTTAGAGCTGTGCTGAGATTAATATCAACAATCAGAAAGTAATGTCATGGTTCTGGTTGTCATTATCCTGTTTAGACATGCTAGAACTATATTTCCTGTGTTAAATCTTAATGGACTAGAGAAAAGAAGCGTTCAAAATCTTAATGATGGTGGCTTCAACTATCCAGGCATCCCCCAGATCTCTCACTTTCTAAACTCAGAACATCTAATAAATCCACGATTTGCCTCAATTAGTTTTCTCAGCCCTGGCTGCATGTTAGAATAATCCCAGAATTAGAGGGAAAAAAAAACCTGATAAGCAGGCTCCACCTATTCTAATTAAAGTACAATCTCAGGTTAGGGCCCCAGACTTTTTTTTTTAAGTGCCCCCAAGTGATTCGAATGTACAGCCAGGCTGAGAATCACTAACCCTCTCCATAATTTCATCTTTCAGAAGGGAGAGGAAGTGATGAAGAGGATTAACACCCTGCTTCTAATTCTGGCCAACTCAGAGGCCCTGAATGGAAAATCAGAAGTGACAGGAATCCTGGAAGAGGGCCACCTGGCCATCAGAAAATTCCAGAGGGATGTGGTCACTGCCAGACTCACACTCAGTTAGTTTGAGTTTTAAAATATCTCAGGAAATTATAAAAGCCTGACTTTAACCCCCCAGTCTGAGATTCCAAAAAGAAGCAGAGGAGATTCTTCAGAATAAAATTCTGATGCTATTATTGCAAATGGTCCAAAGAAGGGGGGGAAAACGAAGAAAAGAGAAAGGAAGGAAGTAGCCAAAAAGATTTAGTATCTTCATGCAGGAAGCTGTCTGCCGAGATCGGATATATTTTTAAACAGTGCATGTAAATTGTGGAAGATGATCTAGAAAAACAAGGGTGGATACAAAAAAATCTGTCAAGAATATGTGAGAAAAGAGTCAGAAAGACTAAATCCAGAGGGAGGCTAACATTCTAGATGATGATGAGGGTTGTTTGCAACAAGAGCAAGTATAGAATCCATGCAGGACTGTGATGGCGTTTTGTCGATGTCATGTCAACAGTGAAGATACAAGACGACCACACCCTCACGCTCTATTTTACTCTTTAGACTAGAAAGGGTGGGACTAAGTTTGGTAAGAAGGAACTGAGTTAGATCACTTAGGAGCAAATGCCAGCTGTCCTAAATAAGTGCTAACAATTTATAACAAACCAGAATATGAATAGAATTTTCAGTTGTAATTGCTTTAATCTTTAAAAATATGGAGAATGAAAGAAGGTGCCTGAACACTGTCTACATTTATTTTTCAAGAAGAAAGTGGAAAAAGTCTTTGAACTACAGACTTGAAGACCTGCTGAGTCTTCTGTTTGAAAATTCTAGAATTTACTTTAAAATGTAGTTTGAATGCAAGACTTACCAAGTTAAATCATACCTATGACATAGCTTATGAAGGGAGTAGAGACAAGGAATCATAAAATTTTAAATAATCTAATTCAAATTCAGTAACCTTTGAGAATCAGATAAAAGCTAAAACTCTCTTGAAGTAGTTAGATATTACAGTATAACACACCATCCTAAAACTTAGTGGCTTAAAACAGCTCCTATTAATTTGCTCCCAATTCTGCAATTTGTGCTAGGCCCAGCTAGGTGGTTCTTCTGCTAGCTTTGTCTGAAATTGCTCAGGGAGCTTCAGTCACCTGATGGCTTAACTGAGGCTGGCTGGTCCAAGATAGCCTCAGTCACAGGTTTGGTGGTTCTCACTGGCTGTCAGCTGAGCTGCATTTCTCCAGTGGGAGAGCCAAGACTAACTTATATGATGGGGGCAGCACCCCAGAGAATAAAAGCAGAAGCTTCGAGGCCAAGGCTTGGAAGTCACATAACATCACTTCTCCCTCATTCTATTGGTCAGTGCAAGTCACAAGGCCAGCCCAGATCAAGGGACAGGGAAGTAGTCAATACCTTTAGATGAGAGTTGCTCCAACTCCCATATGTAATCTACCATACTTCTCAGAAAAATGCTCTACACTAACACATATGAACTATTTTAATTTCAGAGGATTCAAGGATCCTTCTAGCCCAAGTTAAGAGCCTTTATTCTAACCATTGGCATATTTAAATAGGGAAATTAAAACTCAAGGAGACTAAAGCCTTGCCCAAAGTCAAACAGGTATTTATTTAGTATACAAGCATATAAGCATGGCCTATCGTGTAGGTTTCATAACTCCCAGTCCTATGCCATTTTCATTATGCCCAGTTGATCACTGTATTATTACAAGAAATGAATTTCAGCAATTTTGTAAATCAACATTTGACTACCAAATCAAGACAACAATTTAAGTCAAATATATGCAGTAAAATATAAATATTTTATTTAATTAGCATATTCTACACATACATCCAATTAGGAAAGTAGGCTGGTTAAAATAGATGTGAGGTGTAAATTATTTTATTAATTTGCAAACTGGCACAATTATTCACAAATTATGGGCAGTTCCTTAAATCTAGCTCTCTTTTTACGACAGGTACTCGCTATGCTTCAACTAACTCACACCTAAAAATTATCAATTTCAACAGATAATTTGCCATTAGCAAGGTTGTTTTCACTTTTAACCATCTACTTAAAAATCTTTCATTGATAATAGCAACAAATAATCAATTCTACTGATTTTAACTTACATAAAAACCAATTCAAGTTTCTGTTTTTTCCTCGTAAGAAAAAGATCATTAAAGGGAAATTGATGTGGCTTAGTTTAAATTATTGCCTTTCCTTTGTTGTTGTTGCCAGTGGATGAGTCTTCATGTAAGGGCTGCAGGTTTTACTTTAAATTTTTTTTAATTATTAGTAATTTATTTATTCATTTTATTTATTTATTTACTTTTTGGTGAATTTGGCAGGTTGATCTGGTCCAAATGGATGGAGAGAAACTAATTAGTTTTGAAACATCCAATTTTCAGAAATTATCAACTAATAAAGGTAAGGTTTTTGTTTTTTTGTTTTTTACTTTTTATCATAAAAATGTTCAAACATGCAGAGAAATAGAGAAAAAATAATACAATGACTACCCATAACCCAATACCTTTAATCAATAATTGTTATCATTCTGCCATCTTTGCTTCATCTGTTTATGTGCATTTTGTTGTTGTACCATTTTAAAGTCAGTGACCCCAAAGCATTTCAGTATATACTCCAAAAAATGAGAATATCCTCTTACATACCAAATTCCAATATATCATTTAATAAATTAATATTAATTCCCTAGTATTGTGTAATACCCAGTCTATATTAAAAATTATAACCTTGGTTTTACAGATCTTTTTTTCCAATCTAGAGTCCAGTCAAGGAGCACATGTTACATTATTATAACTTCAGTCTCTTTTAATCTTGAATAGCACACACACACCTTTTTCTCATGCTACTGACTTTTTGAAGAGGCCAGGACACTTGTCTTATAGAATGCTCCAATTCTGGACTTTTTGATTCTTTTTCGTGGTGCTTTAACTTGTTCCTCCATCTTCTGTATATCCTTTAGATCTAAAGTCTTGATAAGATTCAGGTTATACATTTTGAAGAATATTCCATAAGTGAGAGTATCTATTTCATAGTGTGTGACATCAGCAGCACATTAAGCCTGGTTACTGCACTATTGGTGACACCAGGTTTGATCCCTGAGTTAAGGTGATGGCAACCACAGCTCTCTTCACTAGTAAGATGCATTTTCCCTTTGTTAATTAGCAAGTCAACAGTGGGGCAATAATTTGGCACCACGAAAATATCCAGTTCCCTAAAGTTAGATTTTTTTAAAAAATATAACTCATTGTGCTTTTGATTTTCATAAAAAATTATACTCAGTTTTTCAAAGCTTTCCTCAAGCTGGGTATATTCAACCTAAAATTATGAAAACAAACCAATGTCTGCATTAAGCCATTAGATAATTATTCATTCTTTGCTCATATCTTTGTCATTTCCGGTACTATTGTGGTTTACAGCAGTCATGCATTCTTGGGCTAGTAAATTGGGAATTAGTGGGTTCCCAGAGCTGTGTGTTGTAGTTCCCTTATCCACTTATTTTATGATCGTTACATGCCAACTTCAGGAATGGAGCAACATAGAACGCTGTGGAAGTGCATTTTGTATTATCATGAGTAATGAAGTGAGATCTGGGCATCACCCAAGTGTACCAAGAAGCCAGGTGTTGCAGTAGGTGTGAGGGCTACTAGACTCTTATTGTGAACTCATTGTGCCACACATTACAACTGAGATATGGGTCCCTTGAAGTGACTTTGTTTTCTTTTTCAAAAAGGTCAAAAGATGTGAGGGAAAACACACCAGTAACCAAACATGGTAGGATCAAGCCTAATCAGGAATAGAAAATAATTTCTAAAATCTGTGTCTGTTCATTTACTTTATTTTATTTGTTTTTGTTTCACCCTCATCTACGATTCATTTGCCTTTCGTCATCTTCCACAATGGCTTCCGCAAGAATATCAGTCTTGAAACAAACAACGTGACTCGCACCCACTTCAAACATTGTTTAAAATATCATTTATTATTTTGTACTGTGGTCTCACTTAAAAGCCAGCATTACTGAGACTGCTGAGCACATACCTTTAATTCCCAGGGTGAGAGGGGGAAAACAAGGGAGAGCAAGAGCAAGCAAGAGGGAGAGCTAAAACTGAGACGCTCCACAACAGACATGTGAGAAAAACGAGAAAATTCACAAGTCTTACAGGCAGCTGAAGTCTCTAGACACAAGAAAACTGGAAACTGCCCAAAGCCGGGCTCAGTCGAGTATAGAAATGTGATGAAGACCAGGACTGGTATTTTTTTCCAACTAGAGGTTAGTTACTTAAGGACCACATTCCCAGGATTACCAGGATTTGCCTGAATAGCCCAGGGAACACTTATCTGCAGTAGAAACAGTGAAATGAAGAGATGGGATTCTGTGTGAGCCACCTATTATATGAGACTATATTTAGAACTTGAAATTAACACTGGGAATAATCATATTAAATTGACATCAGCAGTTGAAAGCTATATGAAGTAGGAATTATGTTTTTTCTAATTAGCTTAAATTTTCAGATACTAAAATCCAGGTGTCTGGGAGAGCCAAACCCAGTCACTAGGCCTTAGCATCATTCCTTGAAAGAAAAACAAAAACAAGACTATGTGCTGAATATCTCAGGCCAGGAGCTCAATCATATTCATTCAACTCAGCTTCCTTCCTCCATGTTCAAATAGAAAATAGTCACTTACAATGGAGAACTGCTTCTGCACGGGCTTTGCTGTCTTGGAAGGGAACAGTGTCCTAGCTGTCCATAGGTGTGTGCTCTATTGATGCACTTCTACCCTGACACCGAGCGGAAGCATTTTGTGAATGACGGAAGAAATGCATTTACCTAATAGGGAAGAGAAGATGGAAACAGAACTTTCCTGTTCCTGGTGCAGTGAATGTTTTTTCCCCTTTCTCTAAGAAAGCTCTAAGTCACACCTTTATAAAGAACTCAACTTTCAGACCATACATGTGTTTCAGGCCATCATTTACCCAGCAGCTCATTGCAGCAGGGTCCCCTCACTCTGGAAGCTATAATAAGTATAGATATAAGATAAGACAGTAACAGGCATTGAACTACAATTTTCATTACTCTTGCTGAAGTGCCCTTGGCTGGAAGGGCCAAAGGAAGCAGTGTCCGAAGCTTCCACCTTTTATCTGCTGGTTCATTTGGACAAAATTACATGCAGTGGTGCCATTTTCAACTTCAAATTCTTATAGATTGGGCAGCCAATTTCTTCCTTCTGTTCCAGATAAAATAAAGAATCAACAGGTAAGGCATCACCCAGAGATGCTAATTGAGGTCACTAATAATGGAAATTCTTACACAAGTGAAAAATTAGAATGGAATGTAATTATGAAGGCCCCAAGGGACTGAATAGCCTTTAGATAGCTGGAAGGAATGTAAGGATGGCTTTTTATATCAGGCTGGAGATTCAGTGTACAAGAAATGTAACTTTATGATGCAACTACAATTTTATTTCAAGCCATCATTCAGTCAGTTCAGGAACTTTCTCTGTCCCTGGTGTCACATACCAATTTTGGGGTGGTTTATACAGAGCCAAGGCATCGGAGAGGCTCATCTGGTTCTCCATGTTGTCTGTCCCCTCAGGAGACACTGAGTTGCCCATCAACCTGGGTTGTCCCTGGTCATAAATTCAATCCCCTCAGCTCCATCTGCCTGCCCTTCAGTTCCCATGCCTCTTTCTGCCACTTCCCCACCACTCTTAGGCACACAGCAATTATTCTGCTGTTCTTAGACCCACTGGGGCCTGGGGATTTTGTGAGGCTAAGACCTGGATGGCCAAGACATAGCACAGAGCCATAGTTTTTCCTCTTCAGAATTCTTGCCATACTTAGGGTTTTACCCAGGAAGTGAGGTCCAAGGGTCCAAGTTCTTCCTATATTAGATCTGTGAAGGTTTTTGCCCTTTTCCCAAGAACAGGGTGCAGGACCCTTTCTCAGGAACCCATCATGGTCTGCCTCTCAGTCTTGCCTCTCTTACTTCTCCCAGCCTGAGGAATACTTTCTCGGTACTAAGGGCAGAAAAAACTTGCCTTCAACGTCAGGCCTTTATATGTCTTTAAGGTTCATTTATGTTGAAGCACATGTCATAATTTCCTTCCTTTTTAAGGTTGAATAATATTTCATTGTATGTATATGCCACGTTTTGTTTATCTGTTCATGCGTCAATGGACATTTTGGTTGTTTCCACCTTTTTGGCTATCATGAATAATTCTGCTATGAACACTCATGTACTAGTATCTGTTCAGGTCCCTGCTTTCAATTTTTTGGGGGTTATATACCCAGGAATTGCTAGATCATATGGTAATTCTACGTTTAATTTTTGAGGAACTGCTATGTTGTTTCCCACGGTGACTGCACCATTTTACATTGCCACAGCGATGGACAAGCGTTCCAATTTCTCCATATCCTTGCCTGCCAGTGAAGTTTAACAGGGTGCTCTTAGCACTTGCGGTCAGCTCTTCCTTGTAATGCAGGATTGTCCCACTCCTTGCAGAATGTTTAGCATCCCTGGCCCCACCCCCTGTTTGCAGATAATGAGATACTGTTTCCCAGTTGTTGTGACAAACACCTCCCCCTACCCCACACTAGTACATAACACATTTTCAACTGTCTCCGTAGGGATGGGAGGAAGCTGCCCCGTTTGAACCCCGCCTTGAATCTTTTCTGATGCCCTAAGACCTTGTCTCTGGAAACTCAAAATCCTAGAAAAGGCTCTTTTTTCTCTGTCTTGCTGTCACATCCTTCCTTGATTCAATAAGCAGAGAATGGCCTAGTTTAATTGAATGGAGGGGACAGGAGGAGGAAGGAGGGGGGAGAGAGAGAGAGATTATATTTCAAAATATTAACTCACTATACAAGGATTTCTTATCTTGTTTACTTTCTTCTTTTGAGTAACTACGGGTGTTTGTGATCTTTATTTTCTTGTCAGACAAATTTAGATTTTCTTAAAAGGCCTTAGACTTGCATACATGTCCTTCAAAACATATGAACACAGGAAAAGAAAATTACAGGCCAATATCCTGATGAACATAGACGCAAAAATCCTCAACAAAATATTTGCAAACCAAATTCAACAATACATTAAAAGGATCATACACCATGATCAAGTGGGATTCATTCCAGGGATGCAAGGATGGTTCAACATCTGCAAATCAGTCAGTGAGATACACCACAATAATAAAATGAAGGATAAAAATCATACGATCATCTCAATAGATGCAGAGAAAGCATTTGACAAAATTCAACATCCATTTATGATAAAAACTTTCAATAAGTTGATATAGAGGGAACATATCTCAACATAATAACGGCCATATATGACAAGCCCACAGCTAACATCATACTCGACAGTGAAAAGCTGAAAAAGTTTCCTCTAAGATCAGTAACAAGACAAGGA